TGCTCCGCGATCCGAACAGCCATCTCAACATGACCTCCTGAACATATTGCCACTTGCTACTGCCCCAGCGACTTAGACAGTACGCAGCTTGGCCTTGCAATGTCGGGAAGTGGTTCAGAAGCTGCCAACCTCTACATTGCAACAAGGGTATTCCTTGAGGCACAAATTAGGTGACTACGTACTGTTTTCACGTCTGTGAGTTTTCAGGAACGATTTCGTTTCTCTTCATGGCAAGCTGTTGGAGACCTCCGGTGCCACTGATGTGCTGAGTCGCGTGCTGAGGGCGTAGTCGTTCCTCACGGGACCAAATTCTTTGTTAGCAGCACAAGCGGCCTGGTCTCATGGTCAGTACTGTTGTTCCAAACTTTAATTAACCAAGTGTCATCTTCAATGATCGCTGCAGAAGCGTTGCCGGACCTGAATGCATCATGCTGCAGCAGTGCAAAACCACCGTCACGATCACAGCATATCACAGCTAGTGGCACAGCCCAAACCCCGCGTTAGGATCAAGGCATGCCAGCATGCGGGGAATGAAGGTGGACGGCAAGAGTGACAGAGGCACCTGCCCAGCTAACACATTGACACCCGGCAAATGGCTATGCGACTTGTCATGCACATCGCAAGCCCTGGCCAAGACCTCCATGGGGGTGCAGAGCTGCCGCAAAGGATGGAGCTCGACAGTTGAGACCTCCAGGCAGGCTTTTCTGGCTCATGCCTGGGATCTTTGATCTACAAAGGCTGTCATGTCTGGCAAGACCTGGCCGGAAGCTCCCTCTGACACTTGCCGCTCCGTGCTTGCTCCTTGGCATGCAGTGCCATCTTCAACAATCCGATGCTGGATGGGCAGCGCGCCTTGGCTTGAGCCGGCAAGACCACCGAGAATATCCACGTCACCCACGATGACAGCTCCCACCGCTGTGGCCCACTCACGTGCTGTCGCCTAGCCGACGTCAGTCAAACTTACAATGAGGCTCTGCCAGAAGGCAGCCCTGTGTGTTCGTTCAACTTCATTAAAAAAAATTGGCAGCTTGTTGCAGCGCCTCTGTTATTCCAAGGTCGAGTGTGCGTCGTGAAGCTGGCAATGAGACGAATCCACTGGGCAAAGCTAGCTGTGAGTAGATGATGTAGTCCTTGAGCAAACAAGCACGGTTGCAATTCATGCAATCAATGCATTGGCATGCATGGGCTACGTTCTCCACTAGTCCTTGAGGCAAATGAAGATACGCCATATGGTTTCCTGTGCATCCAAGGCAAAGAAGCAATATGCCAAACATCTGGGAGATTCCAGGAGAATTCCCTATGTCGCTTGGAACAGGCCAAAGCTGAGGCACGGATCTCCTGGGCAAAAAGCTGGAGCTGCTGTATGGTCTCCAGCTCAACTCCAAGCGCAGAAGCCTGAGACGTACGACGGACGGAACATGCGAATCAAACAGTTAGCCAGCACAAACCTCTCCCAAGGACATGCCCAAGGCTGCAGCTGCCAGGGGCTGAAGATGATGGCGAAGAAGGAGCAGCAAGGACAGCAGCACGCTAGGTGGCACCTTTCTGCGCATTCTCAGGTTCACATGCTTTGCCAGCCAATCCTTGTCTTAGAAAAGTTTCGCACATGACCTAAGCCACCAACCAAAAAGTTTGATGCAGGCAAAGGGTTGGGCAAACTGCGAGCTGACGAGAGGTGATGGTGCCTGCACGTGAGTGTCAAGTGGACCCAGGAGCCGTAGGCACGGATGGAACCGGCCTGGCGAAGCAAAGCGAGGAGATGAAGAGGAACACGGACACCTGCAATGCAGCCACCGCGAATATCACGAATCCTGACTTCAACGCAACGCTGACAAAGCTAGACATGCCTTCAGCGGGATTCGTTCGATGGAGCTGATCAGGCCTGGGCTGGTGCACAGAAACTTCATGCTGTTTGACCAGGGCATCACAGGCAGCAGCTGTCCAGCTCATGGACACCCTCCTCAATGACCTCAGAGTGCGCGGATCTTCCCTTGACAAAGCAAAGTGCACTGAGCGCGCTGAGCGCACTGGCCTTGTGGCCTGGCGTTGGGCCGCCAGGCGCTGACCTCAACAGGAGGTCGCCCAACCACCAAACATGATGTGGGGCTTTCCCTGAGGTCAGGGCTGTCCCTCCACGCAGCTTTCAACAAGGTACATGGCACACCGAACCTCGGCTAGGCCATGGTGCTGAACGACGGGAATGACAAGAGTGAGATTTATCCAAGAGCAGCAAGTGGCGGTGTAGTAACACCGAGCCAGGTCCAAATCGTAGGAGTGCTCCAGGGCAGCCTCTGCCTGCAAAAGGCGCGCCGTAAGATGCCAACCCGCTGCAGCCATCATTTTACCAAAGCACGCAGCACGCACCTCTGGATTCTGGAAATGACATATTGCATCTGTTCGCCGCTGACCCATGAAGTCAACTGAGAAAGTTGCCATCCACGAGTGATCATGCACCCGGTCCAGCATGTTTGTGCGAGGCGGACCGAAAACTCAAGCAGAAGATTCAACAGTTCACTATTCCCCGCCTGTCGAAGCTGAGGTAGTGAATGCCTCGGCAAAAGAGGCGTGTAGCCTTTGGTATTACACATCTGCATATCAACATCCAAGGCAAAGGAAGCTGAAAGACACGTTTTGCTTAGGCCCTCCAACTTTTTTGCTGTCTGCTTCTTCCTCGGTCTGCTCTCCATCCCTCCTTCTTCTACCGGCTATACCCAATCCCGAGAGGGCAGGTAGGGGCTACGCCGCCCAGCCGGGCACAGGTGCAGTCGTTCGGTCAGGCGAGGACCGGGATACCACCAATACAGATTGCCCTCATTCAAAAGATGCCTATACATGCTAACCCTCCCCCATGTAGGGCAAACTGTATCAGCTTCTCCGCTACGCCAGCCTGCTGCGAAACTTTTGTCCTTCCCAGATGCGCCATGGTTCCCCCCAAAACGCTTCCAGTACACAGTTGAGGAATATTATCACGACACGATGGCTGCTCCCGGTTGCTCCCCGTCCCTTCTTCTTCTTCTTCTTCTTCTACTGGCCGTGCGAGCGCTCAGCGAACGCTCGCGGGGTTACACCCCCTTTCCGCGCACAGGTTCAGCTGTCCGGTCACCCCCGCGAGGATCGCAGTACCCGCAATCCTCCATCCATCCTTTCTCCCACAAAGTATCCACATGCCCTAAATCAAAACACTAGGGATGGCGTTTGGATGGAGTATTGTTGTCCTCCCTGCTCAAGCGGTGGTGTGAAACTTTTGCAGCCATCACCATCTTCCCACATACGAAAGCCGAATAACTCACAAGACCCGCTCCATCCCTTCTTCTTCTTCGGACGTTAGGGAGGCCTTGCATCCCCCCCGGAACACAGCTCCGCGCCCCGCATGTCCGCGCCAGTCTCCGTCAGACCCCGAGAGGATCGAAGTAAACCCTGCCCCCGGCCGTAACCCAGTACACCAAACCCAGAAAAATAGCAGTGCCGGAGAATTAGAGGGTGGAGTACCAAACAGCAAATCAATTCGATGCAGATATCCTGGACCCACTGCAGAAGGGAGACTGCCGACATGTGTGCCCTGGAAGCGGAGTGCTGACAGAAAGGCAAGAGCCTCTTTTGGGTAGCAAAAACGAATTGGGTGCAAGTCAAAAGCTACAACTTCTTTTCGAGCTGAAGACACACGATGGAAAGGAGACTGCCGACATGCGTTCCCTGGAAGTGGAGTGGAGACAGCAAACAATGGGAGCAAAAACGACTTGGGTGCAAGTCAAAATCACAGCTTCTTTCGAGCCGAAGAGCGCCTGCTGAAAGGAGACTGTCGACATGCGTTCCCTGGAAGCAGAGGGGTTGAAGTGGAGTGTTGCTGAGATTTGTACAGGGAGCCCGCACCCGCGTCCGTGATATCAGATATCATGTGGGGAGCCCCATTTGTACAGAGAGCAGGCTCTCCAAATAGGGGTCATTATGGGTGAGGTGGCACGGGTAGTGCGAATTGTTGATCCTTTTGTACGCTTTTGCACCAGGTGCGTTGTTGACCGACAGCAGGTGCAGCACCAAGATCAAGCCTGTTCCCCATCATTGGAGATACTTAGCTTGGTAGAGCTGGGCCCTTAGAATGATGCAGTTACACTGTTGACTCCATAGTTATGAGATGATGGAGGTTGAGCCTAACGGGAATGCAATGATGAGCAAAGCAAAGGCGAGGGGGCTGTGCACAACATGTGAGTAGTGCCCGACAGTCCTGAAAGCAGCGCGGCAACCAGACATGGGTTGGGGGAGGGATGCTGTGATTTGTGGTGTCAGTTTTGTCTGCTGTCTGGTAAGGGCACCCAGACCCATGGAAGTTGTCATCAGGCATCCGGGTAGTGAAGTGCGATGTCTCACCGGCCCTGGAGTAGGAAGTTATACTTGGCCTGGGCCGAAGCTGCTCTCCATCCCTCTCTATCTCTCACTGTCAGTCTGCCAAGGCACAGCGAGGAAAGAAGCGTCCGGCTGTCCACCATGGGAAGGTTCGGTCGCATGACGTAGAGAATGCCTGCAGCAGGGAGTGAGGAACAAAAGGCAAACATGGCTCATGTTTCTTACAACTTTGTTTCCCATGCCATCGCGTTCGAAGGTGTCCTCAGCCCCGGACTGTGGGAGGTGATCTTGTCTAAGACACCTGCTGCCTCAAGGTCCAAGGACAAAAAACAGGCAGCGATCGGCTGTTCAGACCGTGCAGTGAGCTCCCAGCAACCTCAACCTGTGACTCTGCAGCAACTGCTTCCTGCGCCTTGAGTTGTGTCATGCCAAGGTGCTCGGCAAAACGCAGAAAAAGCCCCATCATGCTGACAAGAAGATGCAAGAAGAGAGAGACACCAAGCTGGCAGGGCAAGTCATCTGCCTCGATGGCATCTATCATATCCAAGTTGAGGTCATCCTACAAGAAACATGCACCAGCGGCTGCACCAGTCTGCTTGTGATGCTCTATACCAGTCCTCGGTGCGCACCTGCTCGCGCATCTCCTGATCTCGCTGCTTGCGCCTGGCAAGAGAAGGATAATTCCCTTGCTGGAGCGAATGTTATATACTGCAGCGCAAGCGGAGTGCACGCGCAGCGCACGCACAGATCGTAACTGCCACCGAGTTTCTCCTTTAATCGCTTCCGCTGCTCCTGCCTTACCTGTACAAGCCAGGTGCACGGGCATAAGAGGGAATAGATGTGAGACTCATGGACGCATGACAGTTTGCCAGCATTGTCCGAACATTTCTCGGACAAGATGGGTGTGCCTGCCGCCGCTGTTGTCGCCTATGGCACGCTTTCAAGTTCAGTTATGACAGAGGCACCTGAAAAGATGATGCCGTATGATGCCGTGGCCGGGCTTCAGACTGCGGAGGCACAGAAGCAGCCTGCTCGGCTCAGAATCCGCAACGACTCCGTTGTTCCAGCTCCGTATACCTGCTCCACCACCACTTTCGAGATCCATCCGGCAGCGCTGAGTCGATAGTTGAGCACCTGGCAAATCTGGCCAAAATACTGCAAACATGCCCTGGAAATGACGTTGCTGAGCAGCTCTGAAGCGTTGAACGACGGCAACAGCAGATTCGAAAGCATATGCCTCCACCCAAAAGTCAACCAGCAGGTCACCCACCTGACAGCATATGGAATCTCAAAAAAGCATCGGGCAGGCATGCTGCCGTGCCTTGGTGCTGTCGCGCATGGTCTCCTGCGTGTAGCTCTTCCACAAGGTGTCGAGCAACTGCTGCAAACTCTCCACCTCAGTTCAAATCCTTCTCCTGCAAGCCTCTGCGTCTCGCTCTAGTTGGCAGACAACACACGAACTCTCAGACTGCGCGTTGTCATGAAATTGTAACTAGCTGTGGCGGATACCCTGCGTGGAGTGCACCGCTTACAGGCAGCTGAGGTAAGCTGCGGACGTCGCGGCGGAATTCTTCCCAGCACAGCAGTACAACCTCATCAAGTGTGCCATTCATGGGAGTACAATGGATGCGGGAGTGCAGTTGCTCATGCTGAATGTGGCCTGCTTAGTGATTTCAACCTGCAGTAGCCGCCTGCTCACGGAACTTGTTTTAGCGGAATCCACTTTATAATTAGTGCTGACACGCACAGTGCACAAGACACTACAAATAGTTTTGCCGATAGGAGTGTCCACAGCGAAGGCGGCTTCCCATTCGCTGCCTCTTTGGGCAGCGCATCATCTGCAACTTGCATGGGCCCAGTCTTATGATGCACCCACCCCTGACAACAAAAACAATCTTCACACTGTCTGCTTTTTGCCAGACTTGTTTTGGACGTTCTTTCGTTTTGCTCTGGAATTTACAGGTTGATTGTGCTACAAGGGTTTGTGCGTCATAGGCTGAGTTGCCTCCCACAACCACGTTCGCGTCGCATCTCCCTCAGGCCAATAACCACTGAGTTCTGTCCAAATCAAGGCATGATATTCGTTCAGCCACCTCAATTCTGTAGCAGATAGAAGCGACACATCCACAAGCTTCCGGCACATGGGCACCAGAGTAAGACACTCAAATGTCAGAAAGGCACTAGCCATCTTATAGGGTGTCTTGGCTGGTACAGCCAAAATGTCCGACTCGATGCGCACTCCGAACTCACCGTCTTTGTAGCAGCCTGGTTCATCGGACATGAAGGCTCCAACCGTTATCGGTTGCAGAAAGAGTCGCCGTCGACGTTCGCTCGCAAGAATCCGATCTCCAGGCACGCTGCCACCGCCAATCTGGGCAGGCCCTTCGTGGACGTTGAGATATGCACCGATACCATGCCCCGTTCCATGACCGTACTGGAGCCCATCCTGCCACAGTGGTCCTCGAGCATACGCATCCAGCAGAAGTCCAGGAGTGCCCGCGGGGAACACTGCATGAGCCAATGCTAGATGGCCTTGCAGTACCCTCGTGTAAATATGCTTCTGTTCAGGGCTCGGTGTCCCAAAATGGACCGTGCGTGTCACGTCAGTTGTGCCATCCTGGTACTGTGCACCAGTGTCTATCAGAAAGATTTCGGATTCCTGCAGGGTCTTGCACTTGTCGCGCTCTGGCTGGTAGTGAACCACTGCAGAGTTCGAACCAGTAGATGAGATGGTGTGAAAGCTGTCGCCCACATACAACTGTTGCTTGCGGCGCAACTCCTGCATCATATCACAAACATCAAACTCGTTCGGAAGCACCTCGTCCGGCTGCGGATTGCTCAGTATCTGCTGAAGCTTTGAGAGAAGCTCACACAAAGCAACGGAATCACGCTTGCATGCCTTCTTGAGACCGCTGATCTCGACAGCATTTTTACTAGCTTTCATTTTTTCAATGGGTGAGAGACCGTGCACTCGGAGCTCAGGCTTGACCATGCTCAGGGTGGCCAAAGAACAAGAGGCAGAGTCCAGAAGGACCTTTTCCTGTGAACCCAACTCTGCAGGCAAGTCATCGAAAAAGCGATTGTATGGCTTCAATATTACTCCAGCCTGAGCTAGGTTCGACCGCACTTCTGCAGAAACTCCATCCTTTCCATCCTCAAGCACGCGCAAGAATAACATGGCGCGATCCTTGAACACAGCAGCATATGCGAAGAAGAGCGGATTGTACTGAATATCGGAGCCCCTTAGGTTGAAGAGCCAAGAGATTTGATCTAAAGCGCTCACGACACAAACGCTGGCCCCCTGCTCCTCAACGGCTTCCCGAACTCTTTCGATTTTGCGTGCCACAGATTCACCAGCATACTCAATAGGATGTGTCTCAACAGGATTGCACGGGTCTTCTGGCCGTGTCGTCCAAATGGCATCAATCAGATTGGGCCTGATCTCCTTGAGAGATATGCAAGATCCCCATTGTGAGATCCAATCTTGTGCGACTTCAGCAGGTACCAAGCGTGGATCAACCCCAATGCACTTGCCGTTGAGATTGTCCAGGACCCAATCGGCCAACTCAGGTACAGATGGTTGAAGCTGACGCATCAGAACCCATTCCGTTCCTGGCACAAGCCAAGCTAATGGCAAGCACTCAAGTCAAATGCCAAAGAAAAAGGTACGCTTAGACCGTTAAGTGAGAAGCAGCTTTCCGTAACAGTGCAAGCTGCCTGCCAGCTGCTTCTCTGCCTGGATGAAATAACGGCTATCTGTCCAGAGCAAAGCCTTATTTGCCGTGACGATGGCTGTGCCTGCGTAGCAAAGGAAAATCAAAGTCACACGGATGAAGCACACCGAACCCATGCCTGCACTGCCGGAGAATCCAGTCAGGAAGCTGCGGCGCTCATCCGCAGAAGCGACGTACTCGGAGCAATGCGCGTCCTTCAAACATTTAGCAGCGTTCTGTGTTTCTGCAGGAAAGAAAACAGATGTGCTCACGGGCAGATTACGTAGGATGACAGAGGGCAGGCTGACAGCATGAAACAACAGGATGCTTCACAAGGAAACCTTGCAGCAGTTTTGGGCGTTTCATCATGCTGGAGGGCCGCTCACAAAGCAACAGCTTGCAGCAAGCTTCGGGTGGGATGATAACGATGTTTCCTTCTGGAACTTGCATTTGAGCCCGCATGGCTTAATGGGATGCCGCATGACTGATGCTGGACATGTAGTATCGACATCGGCGGCACGGCTGCGCATACAGCAAGTCTTGAGCCACAATTAGAACGTCGGGCCTGCTGGGCCTGAGCATATAGAGTTTTTGTGCTGTCATGCAGCTCCTCGCTTGTCACAATGTAGGCGTCCAGGCTGTGAGCCTTCAGCAGGGCACGCAAGCCTTGCAGGCGGTCGGCGCTGCCCTTGGGATCACAGTTGTCGCAGAAAGGTGAACCAGGCCGGTAGCAGCATGGACACTGCCTAAGCAGCAAGGGCGTCATATTTTGGGACAAGCAGTCCGCCCATGGTCGTCACTCACTGTGTCTTGCTGCCAAGCGAGGTGCAGTTGAAAATGCGCTGATAAGTTTAGCAAGCCTCGTCGGCGCTTTCTCGGTGCCGCTTCTGCCATGCAAAGGAGCCTAACGTGCCTTTGTATCTGTAGCAACGCAATCCAGGACAAAATTGTGTTACTTGCTCTCAATTTGTTCCGAGCATGCGTAAGTGGATCTGTGGGCTGCCCTACTGATCCAACAAGCATTGCAGGAAAGATGTCGCGCTGTCTTCTGATGTTGGCAGGCCACATGTCGCCTGACAAGGTCTTCACGGCACTGCACTTGCATCACACAGTTGTGACAAACAGCTGTCGCCTTGCTTCCCAATATCTTTTGGGCGTGCTTGAGCCAAGCATGGCAAAGTCAATGGACGTTTCATGCGATATGCGGCATTTCCATCAATCAAACCAAGGCCGCAGCCAGTGGCTTCAGCTGCGGGAACGGTGCCAACAGCCAGGCAGAAGTGCAGAAATCTCGTTCTTGGCAGGAAGAGGCAGGAGGGCGGCTGGCGCGACTAAGCGTCATTTGTGACAACGGCAGCAGTGTCACACTCTTGAAAAGCTTCAATGGCCAAACCAGCTGTGTCGTTCACTCAACAGTACTTGTAGCGCGTGACACTCTAGCACCACTGAAGCAGCTGCTCTTGATGAAGCCAGAAGCTGTCTCCATGACATACTCCAAGCCTCACATCTTGCAGGTGGAAGATCATGCACGTGTGCTGCACTCTTCAAACAAGAGGCAATGAGTGCCAGCCACTCTGGTAAACTCGAAGTATGCATCCCAAAACGTGATGGGTGGCTCCTGCAAAAAGAGGCCCGGCAAACGTGCCAGTGCAGGCTTGATGCGGGCAGCTGCATCGGGCATGTCATGGTAGTGTCCATTTCAAAAGACTGTGAGCCCGTGCTGCATTAACGTGGGCAGGTGGAGTCAGGCAAGTTCCTTGAAGCTGTAGGTCGCTGGGTCCAGCAACTGAAGCAGCTCAAATGCCTCGACTTCGCGACATCACAAGTTCAGCGAAGCCTCTTTAAACCGAACTATTGCTTGGCTTTCCACGGGCGGCAAGGATGCTTGTGAGGACTTCAGTCTCAGAAGTTTGTCCTGCAAGCAACTGCGAGCAGCGGCACCACCGGAGGGAGCCATGCAAGATCACGCGCGCCTCCAGAGTACTGAAAAGTCGAAGAGCTGAATGCGAGGTGCCGGATGTGTGCGCCAAGAAAGCCTGCTCCGGCATTCTATCCAGGTGGATGCCTTTAGCTGCAGCTGCTTTGCATTCACAAAAAGCCACCTCGTAGATCTTTGTCCGGTGGAGAAATGCCTTGCTTGAATACAATTGAAATGTCATGGGCATGGGTCAGAGACCATACCAAGCTGCGTTTCGTGCGAAGTCCAGCGGTGCTTGCCCCTGCTCCTGTTTCAGTACCAAGCGCTCTGGGACTTCATAAGATTGAAATCATTGCGGCTGCGCCTCCCATGCCTCTGCCAGGCTCCTTGGCCAGACAAGTCCGTGGAAGTTTGATAGAGGAGAGCTTCTCCAGTCGGCGTCCTGTCTAGCCGAGTGTGCGCCTCCACGCCCACATCTTGATTGAGCCCCTCCTGCAGGTGAAGCTACTCAATTGTTGCTCACTTTGCTCCGACTCCGACTCAGAAGCCAGCTATCTTGCCATCTGCCCCAAGCGGTGCGTCTCCCCTGCAAGGCAATTCAATCAAAGACTTACGTTCCACCACGATTTGCCCGCTTGCTTGAAGCCCTCATGGCACCACTGTCCTGCCTAATCTGCTTTAGAAGAGAGGAATAGTGCAGCGCTGATGATCTCGACGAACCTGGACCCACATGAAGCCAGGCCATAGCCATTTGCCTTTCATGGTTCTTTGTCAGGCCCTGACTGCCAGCGATCGGCTGCCCTGTCCTTGGCAACCAGAAGCGATCCGTTTCTTCAAGTCGCCTCTCTGCCAGATTTCTCTGTCGATTACTGATCGACTGGATTCTACATCGGCGTGATCTGTGGCTGACACCCCGTCGAAGCTGATCCAAAATGAGATGAATGACGCCTCATGCAATCCATCTTGCTCTGCGACTGAACATATGCGCTAACTAAGCCCACACGGACAGTATGTTGCTGTGTCCGGCCTGGCTTCAACCAGACGTCGTAAATGATCCCAAGGCTTCAGTGCTGCAGTGCCTGCGAAGGGTTCAGGCTCGCACCCTTCTCTAAAAAGGAACCTACAGACCTAGAGACCTAGAGTTGTGTCGTTCTGCTTGGGCCTTCGGCTGGCAGCGCCTGAGCGTAGCTTGCTGCCAGAGTACGAGAGGCCGCAGCAACTGCCTGACACAGCAAGGCATCAAAAAGTGCAACATATCTGTGGAAACAAAAGCTCTACTTGCGATCCGAAGCACAATTTCTCCGATGTCAGCACCCTCGCCAGCAGCTTCTGCAGAAGCCTCGCTTGGCAAAGTGGCGATCTGTTGCAAAAAACTGTGCAATTGAGTCGAAGGCCATCCCCGCATCTCCAGCCTGATCCAATTGAACAAGAAAGAACAGACAGGAGCCTAGAACGAGGTACTCCGATCTTACCGTCTAGGCCTATGTCAAGCAGCCTAGCACATACTTTCCAAGACAACGCGAGATAACGCGAGCAATGCATGTGCAACAGCCTCAATCCCGGGTGGCGTGGACAGGTTTGCCGTAGATGTGGCCATGGAGACGAGAGCCTGTCGATTCAGCATTTCCATAAGCAGAAGTCCTCACGCAGCCTCAGTCGCCATAACTTAGGTGAAATATGGAAGCGTCTGTTCTAATTTCAATCAGGCGCGATGAAACCCTTGACTTGATTCTCGATCTTACGAGTAGTTCACAGTGGAGGAGTGGCAGCAATTCAGAGACTCCAAAGCTGACCCTGGCTGCATCTGGCTCTCGCCTGCAGGCGTCCATGAAGCGCTGGCGTCGGTCGCACATCTGAGACAACTACTACCTTAGCCACAAAGTGGCTGCTGCCCGCGTGACAGTAAGTACAGCTGGACTTCAAGTCATGCCAAGTACGGGGCCAGTAGAACACTGAGCAGCTCTAGCCTCACAGACGATGCCAGCCCGATCATTGAAGCGCATCTTAAATACAGCCACTGCGGACGTACTAGCGAAGCCGACAGAGGCCGTCACAAGGATTGAGGAGGACCCACGGAATCGTTCACCTGTGACAGCTAGACGAGCCTAGAACAAAAGCAGAATCTGTGATGGGGCATCCTCCTTGCTGCCTGAATGCTTCTCTGGCCTCTATGAATTTCAGATAGCGCCAGGCATCAGACTTGAGCGACTGTAGAAGCCTACGGAGCAAAGACTACAGCTGCCAATCACACGTAGCAAGATACAGGTTGACAGGGAACCCGACGCATCTGCAGTAAGACCCAAATACCTTGAAGACAGGGCACCGTGACTTCTTGTTAGGAGTGGTATTGCGCAGATCAGGCGAGACACATTTGCTGAATGCGTCTTGCAGTCGGCAGAGCTGCCGAACAACCCTGAGCACAAAGCCACAGCCAAGGCTCCCGTCCAGCTCTTGCAACTCAATATTACTGTTACTATTATTTCCATTAGTACTGTTCTTCCTACTATTCCTACTATTTCTAGAATTGATACTATTGCAATTGTTATTCTTCTTAGTATTACTGTTATTACTAATCAACTAATACCGATAATTGGGGCAAAGTGGCTGGTGGGGCGAGCGACAGGCAGATACAGCGGCCAAGCAGGGGTTGGCTACGGCAGAGATCGTAGAGCTGCTGCACTGCGGCCTGCAAAGCTCGAGTTCGTTTATAACTACTATTGCTACTATCATTTCTATTACTAGTACTATTACTGTTACTATTACCATGGCTATTACTATTACTGTTGCTATTGCTCTTGCTCTTGCTGCTATTATTACTATTATTACCATTACTGAAAGGTTGCGCTGTTCGGGAAGCCTTGGAAAGGCTCTTAGAAGCACTGAACAGCTCTATCTGCTCCTGCCGCTGAATGGCGTGACCTGAAGTGACGGAATGACCGTTCGCAATATTGGCATTCTTTTAGAGGGCTCCAGGATTGAGGCCAGGAAGGAAGTTCACGAAAGGCGACACCTGATGCAGAGCAGACTGAAGGAACAGTCCTCTCTCTGCCTTCTGCATCAAAATCCAGCACCTGGTTAGTCACTTGTAGCAGTGAAAGCGCCGGCAGCCTGGGAGGCTGGGACTGGACGGCTGGAACACGACTTTTCAGTTCCGTGAGCTCGTGGCTTGAACGATGCTGGAACCTGCAATTCGGTAGGTATGTCCACCTGCAGCGAGACATCATAGTTCTCGGCAACCTTGCTGTCTACTGAGGCGCCTCGTCAACGCTTGTGGCACAGAGAAGGCCAGCATGATACCTAGATGTATGTGTATGCAAATGTATGCAACATGCTCCAGCTCTGCAGTTCCAAAGTCAAATTGCCCCACAGATGATACTGCCATCCAGCAGCTCCCTCAATTCACTGGCAACCTCTGCTGTCAGCACCTTGAGAAACTCAACATGGCAAACACGCATGCTTGTCAACAAGCGCCAATTACTGCCTGCGAACCTGCGAGTAGATGGCCGCTCCATCCAACAGCGCATGGGCAACGAGCACGTCAAACTCCAAATGCTTCACCTAAACACAGAAAGCAAAGCTGACAGCACTTGGTTTGCTTTGATTCAAAGGCTACTAGTTTAGCAGCAAGCAGCCATGAAACACCTGGAACTGGCCACGAGTTGCTACTGTCTGCTACACATAGTGCTTCGAATACCCTACTCACCTGATGCACCAAATTGGACAGTTGTCATCTGAATAGAGCAAGCCATGCAAACCAAGCAACTAACCACGGAGGTAGGTGCGCGGGCTCTTGAAGATGCTTTTGCACCAGATCCTGGGTTACAAGCCCGGATGCAGGGAATCACAAGAGGTTTCCAACTTCCGAGGCCTGGAAGTCAATGAAGCAAAGCCATGCCAAATGAGCGGAGGACGGAACCAAGACCTTCAACAGCTTGGTCTCCGCTGAAACCGCTGAAAATGGGTAGCTCTTACAAAACGAACATGGCTGGGAAATTGAAGACACCATGCCCGTACAAGCATTCAGGCAGCCACCGAACAAAGCCAGTGCTTGGGAGGCCCGTACCTGAAAAACGTGCCATTCGCGACACCTCTAAGACCTCACCGGGCTATTCAGCATGCTCAGAGCACCTGCCCCAAGCAGCTGCGTCGTAATGCACATCTTTTGACTGATTGTTGTGTTGGGCTGGTGGCCAGGGTTTGCGTTGGCGAGGGGCGCGGTATACCAAGCTGCCTACACTCACCTGCAGCATGCCTATTGGCATGAGCTGGAGGGACGAGCTTGGAATCCACCCAGAGTGAAAAATTAGAAGATTGCAGCTTCGTGCGGGCACTGCCGATGCACGTCGTATGCTGCACCTAGCGGCGTGGCCCAAATTTAGTGAAACTTCAGCGAAATGTGAGTTGCCCCACACTTTCCTCTTGAGTACACATGCTGGGCTTTGCAAACAGCATCCAGCTCTAATTGGAAGAAATGTTCTCTGAGGATTTCTCAATTTAATCGTCGAACGAGACATTTCTCAATTCGAGTGGCAGGCTCATTGCCGTCCCAATATTCAATCAGAACCTTGGGCTAGCAGATGAGACAAAAGCACCTAACATAATGCGTGCACATGCTGAAAACCTGATACTGGAGTCTTGCCGCCAACTCAGTCAGAACAGCCGAAAACTGAGGCCTATGCATCATCTTGATCTTCCGGAGAATCCTGTATCACGCAAGACCATCCTTGAAAGCCCAGATCTGCAAAGCGAAAGGCTGAGTCCTCCTGAACCGTGGCACGGACAGGTTGGACCTGCAACGGGACTACCACCAGTCATGCCAACACTCCAGCTGTCCAGATGATCTTCACACACAGTGCTGCGCCTCACCAGGCAAGAAAATCCATACATCCTGTCATTGCATAGCTCTGCAGTAGCAGAGGTGACCGTCTGGCACTGGCTCCCTTATGCTTGCTTCGCGATGCTCCACAGCATGGCCCCACCTGTCTCTCCTCGAAAGATTCTTTCTTCATCTCCTGATGAGGAGGTCTCACATGAATCTTTTTCAAAACTGCCTAAATGCCATCCCCAGTAGGCTCCTCAATTATTGCCGTATAGCGTGCGAAAAGCGCTTGTGCTTGAAGGGTACTACGCATCAAGAAATTCCCAAGGTCACACCTTCCTGGTTCTACTACGAGACCCCTGGTCACGCATGAGTCCTGCAACATTCCAAGCCTTTTGGCCAGAATGCAGTACGCCCCACTGGACCTTGAGCCAGTAACATCACTTACACGTACCTGTCACATGGGATGATCACTTTGTCAAGCCCATTGTCGTCAGAGAGCATGGATTTTTTGGGGACACACGTTGCAGGATGACATCATGACGTCATGCCTGTGAAGAAGCTGAGGTCCGGACCCTCGCTCTTGTGACAAGGTGATCAAATCCTGCCGGACTAGCAGGGCCACGTCGCTGAGATGCATCATGTGCTTCTCTGAGCGGTCCCTTCCAGCTTTGTTCTCCCAGGATGACCAGATCCGGACAGGCAGCCTCACAGGGAATTCGTGGATAGCAGCGGTTCTCAGGATAGCAACCGTGCTGTGGAGGGACCCGTGCATCAGCCCAAAGAGAGAACTCAAGATCACTCCCTAAAGTGAGGAGCTTACTTCGCCAGTACGTCGTCAAGCTCTTGCATTTTGTCCTGAACCTGGGCATAGGTTTGTTAATTTGCTGTGTTTTATCATACATTTCATTCACATAATGAGGGCGCAGCCACGTTCCGGAATGCCTGCGGGGCAGCACCAATCGACAGCAGCTTAATTTGGGCGCTGACATGATCTGACATGCATGGTCCTCCTTCTTCAGCGCATCCTGTTCCTCTTGCGACAGAGACGTTGGAGGCTCCTCCAGCTCCTCAACCTCCTCAACCTCCTCCGGCTCCTGGGCCTCCTGCGCCGTGGCAGAGCTCGCGGACCGAAGCGTCGCAACAGGAGCCAGCAGCACGCCTCTGTGGCCTCCGTCGAAACCTGCACGTTTCTACAATCCGCACATTTAAATAGCTACCTGTGACCAAAATGAGGCTCTGTAGCCAATGTGCTTCCGCAAAGATCCGTGGGTATCAAATCAACATTATGTGTCGGCTGTCTTTCCCACCTTCTCCTCCATCCAATTGTAGTTGGAGGGGAAATAATCCTGATACAACTGTTGCAGCTGCTGTCGTGTGCAATGCTGCCATATACAACTACAGCATATTGTAAAACGCAACAACGGGTCCAAACACGAGCCTCTTCGTCAGGATTCACATCACCCGCTGGCTTCTGCAAGGGCAGTGTGCTCTACAAGCTGCTCAGGAAACTCAATCCAAGCAGCCCGGCCTCAAGCTCAGCCTCGTCATCCTCATCCAGCGAAACGGACCTGGGTGAGGTAGTCGAGGTACCTGTTAAACAGTCTGTGCGGAACGTGAGGAGATACGATTCAGTCAGTTGAGGTCACTCATCATTGCTGCCAACAAGTCAGACACCTTAGACAGGACTAGAAAAACTCAAGTAACAAGCTTCCTGCCAAATTGCTTGGCCTGATCAGCCTTCATCTCCCTGGCATAGCTCTGCCTGAAAGGCTTCTGACAGCACAACAGCAGGTGTCAATTGCCATCGAGGCATGCGCAGAGTTCGCCCGCAATAGTCGCGCCAGTCCTGGCTCCAAACAAGGCAAACTCCTCACTTCAAGAACACTTCAAACGCGGAGGCCGAAGGCCGATCTTCAAACGCGGAGGCCGAAGGCCGATCAGGCATACAAAACAGCGTACGCGACAGCAGGACGGCAGCAACAGAACAACAGCAAGAAGATTGGTAAATAATTGGGCTTCAACAAGCGAACTGTACTGCAGTAGTGAAACCTGCATATTTCAAAAAGCCAGCAGGCAGGGTGTCCTGTGGGCAACTGTTCGGGAATGGTGTTCAATTAGCCAGTACATGTTGAGTCAGACGGGCATCTGGTCAAGAAAGAGTCCCCACGAACAGGCATGTCATGCACTCAAGCGCTGAAGATGGGATCGCACAACGCTCGACGCACCTTCCAACTACAATCAACTACATGGCAATGGGTGTGGTCCATCATTGCACAGATCAAGTGGGCAAGTAAAGATATTCAGGCGGCTGACAAGGCAGCGCGCATATACCACAAAAGCAAGCGCGGAAGTGTGAATAGAACGTCCCGCAACCTTGTCACTTCTACCGAAAGGCTTGGGGTAACTACCAAGGCAACCCCGACGTTTTCCAGTGCACAAGAGGACCCCTGGGTAGCTCCATCGTCCGCTCCTGTACAAACCACTCTTCCTGACGCACAAAACGAGTCAACAGAATGACATATGCAAGGTAGCGGTTCGCAGGACGGGCACAACAGGATCAGGCTCTGGGATGTCGGAGACAAGGCATGTCAGGGGTCTGAGATCTTAAACGTGATGCACGATTATGCCAACCCAGGCTACGGGTGCAACAACGCCTTGGATTCTTTACGTTGAACAGAGTTTCTAGTGCATCCAAACCTCCATGGAGGAGGGGGCTTGGCTTGCCTTTGCTCCTTGGCGAGCTGGCCAAAAGCTGGAAGGTCTAGCAGGGAAAACGGCAGCGCTTCCGCGCTATGGATCACAAAGTGATACTGTCGTTCCTTGAAGGATTAAGAGCTTGACAAGCAGGATTTTTGTATAGGAGCTTGTGGGCTTTTCGCTTGGCTACCAGCCCTGGTCTGTCAACGTTGCACGAAGCTTTCCATCCAAGAGATTGTTCAGCTCCAGTTGTTACTTGCACTGGCACTGTTGCTGCCATTGTCCCATTGCGACTGTGACGATACTTTCTACTTTACAACTGTTACATACTCTTACTGCAAAGCGCGTCTCAGCGTGGGAATTGCAAGTATTGCTACTGAGTGTACAATCAGAGCTGCAACTGCTGCTTTTATGATAACAAACTGAAGAAACCATCCGAGAAGTATCAGCTGACAACAGAAACCAAAGCGCGGCAGTAACAAAAAGGCAACGCCCAAACCTGGATGGCAAGAGGCAACTGCGCATCATCAGCAGCAGCAAGAAAGCCCTTCAACACCATGCAGTGATGCCAAATCAACGAAGCAAGAATAGTCTGCAAAATTGCAGATTCCGACGCAAAATTGCAGAGCGGAATACAATATATGGACGACGAGAACTTTGTGAGGGTCTGGTAGCTTGTTGATCAACACTCGAGGCACACAACAGCTGTCCTGCCAGCGGACGTTGTCATCCAAGCTTTCCAGAATCGTTCTCACAGCATCCACGTTGTCCTGCACACCATGAAGCAGAGCATGCGCATTGCACTGATGGCCTCATGAACTGCATAGCCGGCACAGTAGGTGCAGCCGACTTCAGCTTCTGCAACTTGTGCTCTCGAGCCAGGTTAAGGCGCTTAAACTGTCAAGCAGAGCCTTCTTCACGTAGTGAAAGGCATCCTTCTTCTGGCCAGACTGCAGGACCTGTGCAGCCTGCATTGTAAATAGAAATGACAACTCGCCTGCAGAATCAGCAAGTCCCCCGTACCTGTGCTTTCTTGTCCTCATCTGTTCTTGACTGCAACTCAAGCAGCTTCGCCTGTGGACATGTTGCGCACCAGCCGGCTGTCAACAGCACTGAAAGCCTTTAGCAGTCTCAGCGGCATCACAGCAAATCGCACTGTTTCTCCGCATGTTAAATGTAAACGGATGTGACAGGAGTCTCGGGATTCGAGGTCTCAACCTGCCCAGCCGGAAAGGGAGCCTCCAACGCCAAAAATGGCTTTTCAATTTCATACATGTCTCTCCAGACAGAGTCTGATCTTGATGCGGCCTGCGCAGGCGACTCCACGTCTGTGGTCTCAGGGGCTACAGCGGCCCGCTTGCAACTGGACCTAGTGAGCCACGGGGGACTTACTACGTGCAACGTGCACATCTCAGAGCGGCCTAAGCCCCTGGCCATGCATTCTCTGCTCGCCTCATAATCATAAGCCCCACTTCGCTGAAGGATGGACATGCGCACAGCACCAAAGAACCAAAGAGAGCTGCGCCTCGGCAGAAAAGGCCCCTTTGCTTGGAGCTCCTGAGTTGGCCACGAAACTCCTACTAAGGTGGCCAAAATGCCCTCCGCAAACGGCTAAGCAGGCTGAGGCTCATCAGACAGCACTAAACTCGGTAACTTTGACGCCTGCTCTTCGATGGCAGCTCGGTAGTGCCTGCAAAGCGGTAGCGTGCTGTCAGCTTACACCATCAGGCAATCAAGGAGCCATGCCTCATCTCCTGATTGCTTGTGGGCATAATGGCATGGCGGAGCTTTACCTTCACGTTACCTTAGGAAGGGCATGATATGTCAAGATTGATGTTCTATTTCCTTCCCATCAAGATGCCCCAGGACATTCCGTGGCTCCAAGGACTAAAGCCTTTGCAAAGCCAGAAAGTCGTCCTCAACGTGCCCAGTTGCTGATGGCTCGTAACCAAAGATTTTTCTCTGCAACGCCTCGGCTTAGATCGAGGGAGGATGTGTGCACAACCAACCTTCACCGACGGCAACCCTTGGTCCTTGGAAACACTGCATCTTCATATGTAGAATCTTTATGCTGTTTCATGCTTCCCGAGAGGCTTCTGGCTGCAAAGTTTTGATCGTTCAAAGTGAAACAGCTGCAGTCCACTCCGAGGCGCTCCTCGGTTGGCGTTGGAACCACGGTGAAGTCATGACAATACTTCAAGACAAAAAGCACGGGCCATGCCACAAATGCAATGAGCGTCGGAGATGTGACAGATCGAATCAATACTAAGCCTGGCCTGGGCTAGCAGTCCAGCAAACTTCTTTCCGCAATGATCATAGAACAGGCTGCCTTGCTTAGGGGGAGACAACTAACGCCGTGCAGGAGTGATCCTCGTATGCGATGAAGCCTCGATCCACCCATTTCACTCAGACATGCATGGACTCGGACACAGCGAAGCATTGCGAAACTGCATCGGATTATATTTGGCGCCTGCAGTCTCTTCGATTGGCCTGAGCTTGCGATCACGCGTGTCTTGGACCAGTTAAGCCAGCATGCGTTGATGCAGCCAAGAGGCGCATGCAGCTCGCAGAACACGGTCGTCAGCCCACTCCGATCAAAAAGCAACATGTAGCCGGCCAGCAGACGTGTTTTCTGGCAGCGAGCTGCCAACAGCAAGAGTTCAAGCAAGGATCGCAACAAGTATGCTTGCACTAGATGCAACCTGATACTACTGAATGGTGCCCAAAAGGCATGAAAAATGAACCCTGTTACAAGCCCCAGGAAGCTGCGGGGTACTGCAGTCGCAAACATGAGATCTAGTGATCGAGATGCTATTACATTGTGTGGTACTTGTTATCTGGTAGGTGACGTTGGCTTCGAGCTGTAGGTTTTTCCCCTGTACAGCACGGGTAGTTGCGTACATCGGAACACGACTTCTTGAAGTGAAATATCCTGGGCAAGAGACACCAAAAGGCCAGGTATGAGGTGCAGCCGCATTTCCGTCCACTCCAGGCCGGGCACCGGTTCAGTGATGAGTCTGTAGACTGGGAACAAAGATACCGTCAGCATACCTAGTCGATGTTACCGCATCATGCTGTAACATTGTTGCATGATGTTACATGTGAGGAAACTGCAGGTGCAGGCTGGAAACGCAACGCACGCGCCGCAGCGGCAACCCATTTCGCCCTCTCCTCCGCAACAGTGCCGGGAGCTAGTGAAGCCAAGCGCATCATACACAACATCTCTCTTTCACGAAGCTGGACTCCAACATGTGAGCTGAGGCTCTTGTTCACAATCAGGACCGGACACCGCAAACATGAGAGTTTTGGCGTTGTGGAAGTCCACGATCTCACATTCAGCCACATGTTATGTCCATGCGATGATAAAAGAACTTCCGAGCTGAGTAACTTCCAATCATTAGCCGTTAATCTATAGAATCGCAATAAAAGACGTAGCCGGGGGCCATGACTCTGCTCCATGCTTTGGGAATTTGGATTTCGGATTTGAAGTCTTCGGGTTGCTGGATCATGGCTCAAGGCAGGGCAATTCCAATCGCCGCAGGAATCGCAACAATGCATTGTGTGACGTGCGCTTGGGCACCCCACCTTGAAGAGGCGTGAGCCAGGCAGGGCTTCATCGGCCTGACAGCATACGTTCTGAGCATTTCTGAATATTTCTGAGCAGTGTAGGAGCTTTAGAATATGTTTCCATGTCTTCTGCTGACAATGGCAGCCTCAGCGCTATGAAGTCGACAGGCTTGCACAAGGCTGAAGGGCGACCAGGCAAGCGAAGTTGTTCTGCAATCGTCGGCATGCCCTTAGGATCCCAGGGTGGCAAGGATCGAAATATCTTTCTTCAAACTGATGCAGGATCCTCTTCAAACTCATGCAGCTGCTTATCTGTTCCCGGGCGCTGATACCAAGGCCGTTGATGTGGATGGACAATGTCACCTCATCATGGTTTCAAGGAGATCGACTACAAGTAGGCGCCACCTGACCTGACCTACCGCGTCACCATGCCAGACATGTTAAGATGGATCGCCCGCACCACGCGCTGAAGGTTGGAGTCGTCACCCGGTTGAGATTGAAGGTACCAAACGCTTCCCGCCCTTGCATCAAGGTCAAGAGCCAACTTGCTGAGAGTGGTGCCAGTCGGTTCATAACAATTAGGAAAGTGCTACAAGCATGGCACGTGGTCCCACAAGGTAAATTGCAGAAGACTTGACAGCCATCAAAGACCACACCGGCATGCCCAGAAGCTGAAGCCTCACAGCCGGTTCATGGAGGGTTGCCGAGGCGACCACCCTGTAGGAGCCCTGAGCTTTGGCTTCTTTGGGCACTTTACCGAGATCAACAACGTGCTGCATGAAAAACCCGAACCCTCCGTCCCCTCAAAGAACAAGACAGAGCACTACAGGTCCCTTGCACACGCAATCGCTCAGCAGACCTTCATTTTGGCTGCGCCTTCCTGACAATCCGGTCTTCTCACAAGCCGGGTTACGAGTCGACCCAAAACCGACCCCACTTCAACGAAGCGAACAAATAACCCGGCACCAGCCAAACCCAAGATCTACTGCCAAGGGTCTCTGACGCGAAGGGTGTCTGCCGGATGGGTTTTCTTTCCCACACGAGCCTTCTTCGCGGCTTTCGCCTGGCTGATCTCCTCATACAGCTCCAGGCCTGTGTCCAGCATATCCTGCAGCACAAAACCGTTGTACTGCTGCCAGTCCAGCCTTAGCCGCTTCGCAGGATCGAAGCGAGTGTAGTCGCTGTTCGTGAGTTGATCGGCCTCTTCCTTCTGCAGCCGCGGCAGCCAGTACAAATGCAAGTCTGCGGCCTCTCGCTGCAGCCTAACCGCCAGCTCCATGAGAAAGGCGCAAAGTGGAAACTTTGTGGTAAGAAGACGCGAAACCACATAAGTGTTGCCACGATTGTCTGTCCCGGCAGAGCAGCCAAAAGCGCACTCTTGTCCAGCTGGCACACCGAAAAGGATCACGGCCATCAAGGTGGCCAAGAGTTCCAGGGCCGCGATCTGGCGATAGGATTCACCAGCCGTGAAAAGCCAAGGCGCTGAAGTATGGTCTAGGCGTTCAGAGAACCACCTACACTGTCTGGGATCAGGGTCGTCAATCGCCCATCCACCGACCCAGACTTCGTTCCCCTCAGCTTTGGCGTCCGTGCGGAAGATTTCCATCTCGCGCACTCGCTGCTGCCCCACAGGCGCAGCCCGGCCATCGCCTGCAAGAGCGCGCGCCAGAAACCTGAAGATCAAGATCAAGGCCCTCGGCAATCTCCGCTGACCCTGTCCATCCATGACTGCAACCCATGCGTACACAGGCCCCAAGAATGGCCTCAAGTGACACAAAGCAGTGAATCCAAAATTCCATCTTCCCAGAACTGCGCGCACATCCTCAACACGCAGTAGAAAGCCGTCGTATCATCCACTGCGCACGCGCCACAGACAAGCCAAGGGCATTTTCCTTGAGGATGAGCTCAAACCCTACCCAGCCGCACTTGAGACCCCCACTGAACTTGTGCCAAGCAAACGGCAAGCCGAGCAGGACGTAATAGAAGATGATGAGAACAATCCAAGGCACACCCGCTGCAACGCACGTTAGCCAGAAAAGGTCATCAGAGTAGATGAGCTGATCCAAGGCCAGTCTTCCTATTAAGTAGAAAGACGAACGTCCGAGCCCAGCCATCAAGCGCGACCAGTGGTAGGCCGCACTGGAGATGCCAAATGCGCCAACGCAGTTTACCCAGACAAAATCTTCTTTCCTTGCCCCTGTCCGGCACGCTAGCAGGCCCCAGTCATGCTGGCAAACTTTCACCAAGCGGTGCGCCCTTTTCACATTGCCAGAGAGGCCGAACACCGCGCCCTGCAGGGTCTGCACGCACGCCTTGACATCGCCTGCTGTAGGTGAACGCAGCTGGTCTCGGATCTTGATGGCCGCATTGACTGCAACGCCATGCGTTCCGTCATGGATGACCCCGTGTGATCCATCCTTTTTCTCAATAGCGCCAAGCGAAGCAACGGCAAAGTTCCGCCCATATCTCGCACGCGCCTTATCTGCAGGCAGTTCCTGCATTGCTCCAAGCTCTGCTTCTGCTTCGAACTGCTGCTGCACAATGGACGCGTGATCTTTGACCGAGAGATAGTTGTCTCGGTCGATCTCCCTACACACTTCCAAGCTGTCTTCCTCTGCGTATGTACGCCACTTGGTCTTCTTTTCAAAGACTGCAGGAACACGTGGAGTCTTAACGCCTACACCAAGCCGCACACCCTTAGCAAGGGAAAACTTAGAAGAAAAGAAAGCCTTGAAATCAGGGTCACCAGCCATGCGGAGCAGCTCCTCGACGGCGGCCAGGAAGAATGGCTGACCTGCAGTCCGTTCTCGATAGTCGGCATTGCCGAGACGCCAAGGCACAGAACAGAATCTCGCGGCCATCAGCAATCAACTCCTCGCTAAAAGGGCACTGAGCGACAGCTCCTGCAGCAAACTCCTTGGCTAGCTTGCTTAGATCCAGCCGGCTCTTCAAGAACGCGAGCAAGGTCTTGCCCAGCTGCTCCGGGAAAGCTAAGGCAGGTGTGTCGGCTGCGCATCTGCGCTGCCAGGGAGCCCAACGGCCAGGCGAGCAAAGTCCGAAACCATCGGAAAAATCCCGCCGCTTGCCAAACACACAGGCGGACCGCGCAGGCCCGTGGCCCCATAAGCCTTCCCCTAGCTGGGGCTTCCGCTCGCCATCGCTATCGATGTCTGAGTCGGGCTCGTCGCGCGCGGCCATCACGCCACGCTCACACAACTTCTCCCAAGGCCTCACTAGTCTGTTCTTACTTTGTGGTCATTCATGTCAGGCCGCTTCTGCTGTGGCTGGCTCGGATGCGACACCACCTTCCCCACCGAAAGCGACATCCGAGCCGCTTATGATGGTTCAGAGGATAGTCACTCGTCCTTCCGCTTGTCGGCAGGGCGCTGCACTTCAGGGCACTTCTGATACGGACGCTGACCCCCACAACGCGAGCAGATATGAGCGAAAGGACAATCCTTACGGTTACAGCCCTTTTGCTTGTTATAAGCAAAGCACACTTTGAGACTGCGATTCTTGCCGATTGTCTTCTTCACGCGGCCATCTTTCCCAGAAGTTTCACCGCCGCCTTTGTCACCGCTCCTTTGCCCAAGGAGCCAAGAGGCTGGGTCGGTGGCGTCTTCACGCTGAAGCGCTGACTGTCCGCCAACCATGAAAGGCACGATGAAGTAGCTGCGCATAATCTCAGGCGCTTTGCGTGCCACTTTGAGCGCCTCTGCAATGTCCGCTGCCTCACCATCACGCACAAGACGATACGCATGCTTCCGGAGCTCCGCCTCATACACCAAGACTGCACTCCAGGAGGGAGACCGACCATCTGCTGCCTGGAAGCCTGCAACCTTATAGCCAAGAACATGGTCAGAAAGCTTCCGAAAGGCATCAGTGCAACGCTCTGGCAGCCATGACCGCGGCCCATGCTTGCTCCGCACCATCTCCCAGGCCAAGCCAATGCGGCGACGCCGCATGCGAAGCTCCTCTGGGCTGCAAGGAGGAGTGGTCATCGTCTTGCCTGGCTTGATGCGAAGAACTGCTGACGCTGGATCAATCACTGCGCTGTATGCCTCGGCGGCGGCATCTTCAACACTGGTGACATCGCGAAGATCTTCTGCTTGAGGGGAGTTATCTTCAACTTGCTCCAACTTCTGGCCTAAGAGAGATTTGCTGGGGACTTCGGCATCGCTCAAGGAACCATGCGGCGTCTCAACTGCGGCTTTCATGGAGGCATGTTCCGTCGTCTGTACCAGACGCGCTTGCACCCCCAACTTGGAATCTGCTTTGTTCTTCTCACGCGCAGAAAGCTGGAGACGACATGCTTCCCACACGGCCAACAACAAGGCCATGTTCTGACGCGAGGTGGCATCCGCAGTGTAGTCTAGAGGAAGCAAGGTCTTCAACGCCGCCCGAACCTCACTTCTGGATTCATCAACCCCCGCAAAGAGCCGCATGCTTGTGAATCCATTGCCGTAGACCAAGGCCTGCACGGCTGGGGGGACGCCTGCGTCGTCCATGCGGTACTTTCACTCGCTCTCCACCTTGCTGAGATCCACGGCATCGACTGCGTTCGGCATGCTGGACGAACTTGATTCACCTGGCAGGGGCAAAAAATCACGAAAGCAGAGCTGAGCCACGATCCGCATTCTCTGCCGACCGCAAAAAATCATCTAGGAATAGCACTCTCGCCCCTGGTAGTAAAAGCCAAGCCCCGGGAAACAAACTGGCCAGCGAACCCACGCCGGACACACAAAGCGAACAGAAACCTGTCCACTTTACCGTTCCCAGGGCCTAAAATGAACCTTTGCATATGGCACGCGCCCCAATTGATCCCTGGAAGTACACAAAGGGCGCATCCGATTTGCAAGCGCAGGCCGGAAGTTTCACTAGCGCAAATGGCAAAGAGCCGGGATGCTGAGGCAAATGGCCGCGCACAGTGGGGAATACCCCTGACACGCAACCAAGTCAATCCCCCGGCTCATGCACACAGCAAGAAACATCACACGTCAAGGAAAAGAGGCGCGCGGAAACTTGCAGAACCCTCACTTTGCACACCCAACAAAACCAAGGCAATCTAGCCAGCTTCAGAAGAGACTTCCAAAAGCCAGTTTGAACCGCAGAGGCAAGGAATCCCACAACACACTCAACGCCATTGCGCGCTCACAACACCTAAAGCAAAATGTCTGGCCCTGTTGGGCCTCTTGCTAGGCACACGATGCTCAATCTATCGACCGGGCATGGCCACTCTTTGAGCACACAACACTACTCTACGGACGTCGCTGCGCCCTCACAGAGGTCCGCAGCAACACAGTCTGTGGTCAAAGTCGCTTGTCCGACGAACGCTGTACAAACTCAGCAGAATCACCCGGACAAGTGCATGGCAGCGAAAGATGGATAAGTGTAGTAAATTAAACAAACAGGCGAAGCCTACACAAAGACTGTACAGTCCTGAGAGCTCCTATCTGTAGGTGCACCTCAGAACCTGAGCGGGCAGGCCCTTAGAAGCTCACAAGAGGACGTCGCGGCGCTCAGCACAGGTCAGCGGCCCGGAGCAGCGCGGCAGCAAGCGCCAGCGGCCAGAAGCAGCCAGCGAACAGCAGCGTGCGGCCGCCGTCGTAGAGGCAGAAATCACCCTGGTTGCAACTGAGCGGGGTCCTCAAGCAGAGTGTGGCCTGGTGCCACTGCGTCTTAGGTGGTCGTGAAGGAGGTTGCCAGCAGCGGCAGAGGCCAAGATGGC